GGATTTAATCCCTCACAAATTGCGAGGGATTTAATCCCTCACAAATTGCGACGGATTTTTATTAATTTCTAAACATTTATTATTAGAAATTAGTGACGGAAATTATACTGTTTGTGATGCCTTAATTCCATCACTAATTGTGACGGAGAAAATAATCCGTCACTAAATATTTTGTGACGCCAAATTTTGTGACGGAATCATTTCCGTCACAAATTCCGTCACTAATTGATTTGTGACGGATTTTATCAAAATTAGTAACGAATTTGTTCCCTCTCTAATTTTAATTTTTCTAGTAGTGATCCTTGACCGAACGAGTGTGTTTGGGAGGGAAGTTTAATACTCATCGTTGGCCGAACGAAGGTGCTCGGGAAGGAAGTGGAATACCCATCCTTGACCGAACTAATGTGTTCGGGAGGGAAGTGGAATACGCATCCTTGACCGAACGAGTGTGTTCGGGAGGGAAGTTTAATACTCATCGTTGGCCGAGCCGAAGTGCTCGGGAATGATTTAAGTACTCGTTCGTTATCGAGCTAAAGTTCTCGGAAGGAATTGAGTTGGACTTGAATAAATTCGCGTAGATAAAAGATGTCACCAAAAGGGTTTGTTTCATTGATGTGGAGCCTCGTTAAAAACCTTTCCTCAGTAAAACCTCTTGCACATTTTTATAAGAGGGAAAAACCTGGGAAAGGAAAAGAGTGCTCCGAAACAAGTACATTCATTGTGTTCTAACTAAAGTAGTGCTTAAGGTGCGTGACATTCCATGTTCGGGGGATGATCTTTCCGTTGAGTTCTTCAAGCTTGTAGGCTCTGTTATTGAGGTTGTGCCTTACTCGGAATGGGCCGTCCCAGTTGGGGGCTAGTTTCCCTTGAGATCTGTCTCTTCTGACCTCTCCTACTACTCTCCATACAAGGTCGCCGGGTTGAAATTCCCTGGGCTTGATCTTGGATCTGTGTTTCCGGGAGACGCGTACTCTACAAGCTTCCATGTTAATGAATGCCCGATCGCGTGCTTCTTCAATCAGATCAAGCTCCACATTTAACGCTTCCTCGTTGGTCCCTTCTGTGTATTGTTGGCGTCTAAGGGAAGGTTCGCCGATCTCTACCGGGATCATGGCGTCAGTTCCATAAGCTCGGAAGGGTGTCTCTTTGGTTGAGCTTTGTGGAGTGCATCTATAGGCTCATAGGATTTCGTGCAAGTGATCATGCCATTCTCCCTTAGCCTTTCCAAGGCGTCGTTTTAATTCTCTCAAGATGACCTTGTTGGTTGCTTCTGCCTGGCCGTTGGATTGGGGGTGCTCTACAGATGTAACTCGGTGCTTGATCTGGAGTTCCTCAAAAAATTCATTGAAGCGGCGATCTGTGAATTGCAAGCCGTTATCCGTGACGAGGGCATAGGGTATACCGAAACGGGTAATGACGTTCTTCCAAAAGAATTTTTGGATATTATTAGCTGAGATAGTGGCAACTGCTTCCGCCTCGATCCATTTGGTGAAATGGTCGACTGCTACTATGAGAAACTTGACCTGCCCCTTGGCTGGTGGAAAGGGTCATAGGATATCCATGCCCCACACTGCGAAGGGCCAGGGAGTGGTGATGAAATGCAAGTCTTCTGCCGGCAAGCTTGTTAACGGGCCGTGTTGCTGGCACGATTTGCACTGTTGGGTGAATTTCATGCAATCACTTGTGATAGTCGGCCAGTAGTAGCCGGCGCGGATGACCTTGGAAGCTAAGGTTCGTCCTCCCGAGTGTGTTCCGCATACTCCTTCATGGATTTCCCGAAGGACATAGTGTGCTTGTTCAGGTGTGAGGCATTTCAACAAAGGTGACGACATGCCTCGTTTATACAATTCTCCAGCAACTAGCGTGTATCGAGCGGCCATGACCCTTAGTTTCTTTGCTTCAATAGAGTTACTAGGTAACTCCCCTGTGGATAGGTAATGCGTTATGCCGGTCATCCAGTTGTCTGCTTGTTGAATGTGCAAACATTCGGTTGTCGCAACACTTGGTGTTTGCAATTCTTGTTGCATGATGCTTCGTAAATGGCTGCTTTTTCTGCTGCTTGCCAGTTTAGCCAACTGGTCAGCTCTCACATTGAGTTCCCGGGGGGTATATTCTACGCGAACCTCTTGGAAGTCGTCTTTCAGCTTTTGGAAGGCGTGGAAGTACAAAAGTAATGTTGGTTCCTTGGTTTGGAAAGTGCCGTTGACCTGGCCCGTCACCACTTGCGAGTCGCTCCAACACTTAACTCTGGTGACGCTCAAGTCCTTTGCTAACCTTAAGCCTGCGAGAAGAGCCTCATATTCGGCTTGGTTATTGGAGGCTTTAAAGCTGAACCGTAATGATAGTTCTACCAGCATTTTGCCGGGACCTTCAAGTATGACGCCAGCTCCGCTCCCTTGTTGATTTGAAGACCCGTCAACATGGAGAGTCCAAACATGCGGCTCGGTGAGTGTTTCAGGGGTGAATTCGTTAATGAAATCGGCCATGCTTTGTGCCTTGATGGGCCCCCTTGGTTCAAAACAAATGTCAAACTACGACAGTTCTATAGACCAAGCGACCATTTGCCCAGCAAGCTCGGGCTTTCGTAACACTTTCATCATTGGGCAATCGGTCCTGACGATGATACGATGGCTTTGGAAGTAGTGACGAAGACGTCTGGCTGTGTGTACGAGCGCTAAGACCGTCTTTTCAAGATGTTGGTACCGGGTTTCAGCGTCTTGCAAGACGCGGCTGACAAAATAGACAGACATTTGTTCAGTTTGTTCTTGCACTATGACCGCGCTGATAGCTTTGTCTGATACAGAAATGTATATGATCATGTCTAATTGAGGGTTGGGTTTTGCGAGCAAAGGCCGTGCCGCGAGTATTGCTTTGAAGTTTTGGAAGGAGGCTTCACACTCTTCTGTCCATTGGAACATCCTCGCCTTTTTCAGCAAAGTCATTATGGGTCTTGACTTCTCGACCATGCACGGTAGGAAACGGGATAACGACGCTATGCATCCAGCTAGTCGTTGTACTTCCTTTACATTGCGGGGGCTTCTCATGTTGACGATGGCCTGACACTTGTCTGGGTTAGCTTCTATGCCTCTTTTTGACAACATGAAGCCTAGGAACTTGCCGCCAGCAACTCCGAAGGTGCACTTCGCCGGGTTTAGCCGCATGTGATACCGTCTTACTTCATCAAATACTGCTACGAGATCCTTCAAGTGACTACCGGCGGAAGCGAACTTGATTACCATGTCGTCCATATATATTTCCATGCATGTCCCTATTTGACGGTGGAAGATTTTATCCATGAGTCTTTGATAAGTTGCCCCGGCGTTTCTTAATCCAAACGACATTACCTTGTAGCAAAAGTTGGCCGAATCCGTGATGAATGCAGTTTTCCCTTTGTCCGGGGGGTACATGGGTATTTGGTTGTACCCTGAGTAGGCATCTAGAAAACTTAGCCTTTGATGGCCCGCGGCTCTATCGACTAATGTATCGATGTGTGGGAGGGGGTAAGCATCCTTGGGGCATGCTTTGTTGAGATCCGTAGAGTCTGTACACATTTGCCATTTGCCATTCGCCTTTTTGAGCATCACTACATTGGCCAGCCAGGTGGAGTACTTGATTTCTCTGATGAACCCGGCTTGTAGTAACTTGGCCGTTTCTTCCTTTACCGCTTGGGCCCTGTCTCCTCCCATTTTTCTCTTCTTTTGTGCAATGGGTTTGGCATCTCGGCAGACCGATAGCCGATGGCAGTGGAAGTTTGGATCGATCCCTGGTATGTCCGCTGCTGTCCAGGCGAACAAGTCCAAGTATTTCCGTAGAACTTGTTTGATGTCCTCGGCGTCTGTTCCGGTTAATTGAGAGCTCAGGTAAGTGACTTGTTCTTTGCTCTTTCCTAGTTGAAACGGAATCGTTGTTTCGATCGATTCGACCCTAACCTCATCTTCCATCCTAGGGTCTAGTTCTAGGTCGCCTATCAGCCTGTGGAGGTTGACGTCGCCTATGACATTGACGTCTCGGGTCACTTTTGGAGTGGGTTGAACCCTGAGGCTGGCGAAGTAACACTCACGTGCTGTCTTTTGATCTGCGTGCAGAGTGATGATTGTTCCTTCTGCCGAGGGGAACTTCATAGCTAAGTGGGGAGTAGAGACGATGGCGCGGAGCTTGTTTAGGGATGGTCGGCCCAGCAAGATATTGTACGAAGTGTTGGCATGCACCACAACGTATTGAACCTTGATCCTTCTTCTATGTTGGTCGTCGCCAAAATAAGTGTACAAGTCAATCGTTCCTCGTGTATCCACTCGTTCGCCAAAGAATCCGACCAGGGGCTCATAGTAAGGCTTCAGCTCTTGTTCGAGAATGCCCTAGTATAAGATATCGGCCGAACTTCCTTGATCCACTAACGTCTTCTTAACGACGCAGTTGTTAATCTCTACGCTAATGACCATTGGATCATCTTGTACTGGGTCCACTCCTTTGAAATCGCGATTGGTGAATGTAATAGGGGGCATGTGGATGGGAGTTGCCCTCCCTACGGCATTCACCGACTTGATTGCTCTTAAATGTCTCTTGCGAGCCGAGGATGTGCTTCCTCCTCCCGCGAATCCTCCGGCAATGGTGTTTATGACCCTTCTGGGTTGACTTCGGCCCTGCTGCCCATTTTCTCTCTCTGGAGTTCTGCTTCGTTCCCTGGATCGGTGCCTCGGGGGTACCCTTTCACGGTTTCCTCTTCTCTTCTCGTGGGTTTCGTCATGTCTCCTCCTACTTGAGGATTGGGTGAAATTTTGGAGATGACCCGACTTAACGAGGTCTTCAATGCGATCTCGAAGAGCTATGCATTCCTCCGTGGTGTGTCCCCGGTTCCTGTGAAACTGGCATGTCTTGGTTTTATCCGCGTGGGGCGGAGTCATAGCACGACGAGGTACTGTGAGTATTTCGGTTGCCAGTGCCTGCTCTAACACCTTGGTCCGGCTGGTGTTGAGCGGCGTATATTGCATATATCGGGGCCCTCTGTTGCTTCTTTCTCTATCGGGCAGGTCCCGGGGGCGGGGCCTTGGGAGTTCTTTCTCGACTTCTTTCTTTCCGAGGAAGAGGTCGGACCGGTTCTGGTTTCGAAACTCGGCCAATTCTTCCATCTGCATGTACTTGGTGGCTCTTTGTCTAAGATCGTCCAAGTCTCTGGGTGGCTTCTTGCATAAGCTATTCACGAAAGGACCCGGCCTCAGTGTCGTGGTGAGGTGGTGCATGGCCACCGCGGGATCCAGATCCCGGATGGACAAAGTCATTTTCCCGAATCTTTCCATGAATGTTCTGAGGGGTTCCTTCTTTTCTTGACGTATGTTGACTAACGCGATTGAAGTGAGTTGGTGAGGGCGACTCGTGGCGAATTGTATCACGAAACGGGATGATAAGGTCATGAACGAATCGATCGATCCAGGAGGGAGTCTCGCGAACCAATTGAGTGCTGGTCCTTTCAACGAAGTAGGGAAAACTTTACACATGATCGCATCATCATCGGTGTACAGACTGACCTGAGTGACGAACGCGTCAAGGTGTTCCTCAGGATTGGTAGTGCCGTCATACTTCTCCAAGGCCAAGTTTTTCCAATTATCGGGTAAGCGGGCTCCGGCGATGTCCAGGGTGAATGGTGTCCTCCCTTGTCGGCGTTGCTGATCAAGGGTAGCAGTTGTAACTCCAGCTGGGGGCTTTGGATCCCTTGCTTCCCTGTACCATCCTGATGAATCCTCATGATCCCGGGTGGATTGTGTGTTAGGAATGTCATGAGATGGGTGCCAAGATCGGTTGTCACTTCTGAGTTCGGCGTTTTCTCTTCTCAAGACTGATAATTCGTGGGCATCCTTTTCTCGGAGCCTCTTGAGTTCCATCATTTCGGCTTTCAGTTGTTCGATGGCCGAGGACGGGTTAGGTTGCTGGGTCCGGTCCACATACGATTCTTCCATTCCTTCCTCATTCTGGTTAATTTGTCGCCTGGGGGTGTCTCGGGGCATCCCGAAAGGGTAATCGGTTGCGTTCTCCTGTTGACTCCTTGTCATTACCATCCTGCTTCAGGGTCGAGAACCGTTTTGGTTTCGGCCCCACGGTGGGCGCCAAAATGTTCCTGCGTAGAAACACTCCTCCTGTCGTTCTTCCTTCTTGATCTTCTAGGTCTTCGGTGCCGACCGAATACTGTCTTCAGAGGGTAGGGAGGGTACCTGCAAAGGCACTCCAACGATCAAGTGAGTATTCGGTATAGAGCAATAAGTGCTTTTATATTGGATAACAACGTACCTCATTTATGTCCCATCACCTGTGTATTTATAGTGACATGAATGGGCCTGGTGGGCCTTCTGTCTTGGGAGATGGGTAACATTTTAATTAACCTTAATCTTGTCTTAATCAGGCATGGTAATTATTGCATAATGGGTATGTAATTTGCCACGTGTTTCATGTGGGTTCTCCTTGCCTTAAGTCCTTTGGTCAAGCCTAAGGCCGACGAGGTATTCGGCCTGGTCTGGGCCTGAAGGGGTATTCGGCCTGACCTGGAGCCGAGGGAGTATCCGGCTAGGTCCAGGATCGAGAGGGTACTCGGCTAGGTCTGGGGTCGAAGGGGGTATTCGGTTTGGTCAGGAACCGAGAGGGTATTCGGCTAGCTCTAGGACCGAAGTGGGTGTTCGGCTTGGTCAGGGGCCGAAGGGGTCTTTTTCGGTTTGGGTGTGTTCGACCTTTGACCGGGTCAAAGGTGGGTGCCTACTGGTACATATACAATTGTCAACCATTGGATTTAACTTAACTAAGTGTATTGAAAGACTTTGAGGCGAGAGAAGGACATCAATTTATATGATAAATGAAAATAAATAGTGATTCATTGAACTGATCCAAGATTTGCATATAAATGAAATTAGAAACAATTTTTTTTTCCTAAATAGTCAAATTTTGGACAATCAGCCAAAGTTGACTCGAGATGAGGTGAAATATGCTTTCTGACTCATCATTAGAAAACATTTCAATGGAATTTTCAAAGTCAATAAATGAGGGTTATTAGTTTGAGCAAAATAGTGGAAGCATATTTACTAAATATTATTATTAAATATGTTTAAAACTAAGATACTTCACCTTATACAATTTTATTATTTTAGATAATCATGTCAACGAACACTAACATTAAACCATCATTGGAATTGGTTCTTGAGGATGACAAAATATTTTGGTATAAGAAAGAAACTTTTGAGGATTGTTCTTAAAAAAAAAAAGTTAAGTTATATATGTGACAACTCCTAAATAAAACTATGGTGTGTTTGGATGGAGAATTTTACAAATTTAACGAATTTTAAATTCTTAGTATTTGAATTACTTTGATTTTAATTTTTATCATGTTTAAAATATTTTGTTTGGATAAGTTAATTCAAATTTCTTAAATTTTAAATTGTTAGGTTGGATATGATAATTTGATTCTACCATGATAAAATTAATTTTAAAAATATATTTATATGTTGAAAATTTTAAATTAAATTTTATAAAAATAAATATTAACTAATTTTTAAATATTTAATAATTTTAAAAATTAATATTAGATAATATTTAATAATTTTAAAAATATTTTTAAATATTCAATAATTAAAAATATGAAGAGATGAGAGATAAAATAAAATATATAAGTGAAATAAGAAAAAAAATATGATAAATTTTAAATGCTTACTTTTTTGGGAGAATTTGAAATTCCACTATTTCAAAGAATTTCACAAATGTTTGAATTTCAAATTTTTTATAAATTTTCCAAACAATATATTTCACTTCAAAGAATTTAAAATTCTTCAAATAAATAAATTATTTCATTTAAATTTTTTTTATCCAAATACAATATTAAAATACGTTACAATACCCAAAAATAGCAAGATGTTGAGAATTATCCTTAAAATACTTTAAGACTCGTATTTTATTTTATAGATATTATAAAAATAATCTTTATAAAATATCCTTTCAAGTAAATATATATATATATATATAAAAAAAACTCCCATACAATTAAGGTGCATCATAAGTTCTAGTCACAATTGATGTGTCTATACAAAACTCAATCATAGTTATACTTGCCAAAATTTGAGATACTCTTTCTCTAATCAGGCAAAAATTCTAACATGAAGCAGTATGAAAAGTGGTACATCAATAAGACACCATTTTTGACTGTTAGATTTAATAATAAAATAATTAACGTTTCAATTTTTTACCTGTAACTTGTTTATGGAATTTTTTTGTATTTTGCATATTAGTAACTGTTTAGGGTTACTGTTTTGTCTGCCAGCGAGTGGTGAGGACGAGGAAGACGACAGCGGCAAGTGCAATGGTGAGGCTGTCGAGGGAGAGCCAGGGGTAGGGAGGGCCAGATTTGGAAGTGGCGAGGTTTAGGGTTTAGGAGAGGCCCTAGGAGAGTTGAGCGCTGCGAACGACAGGAAGGGGGAGGTAGCGGTAGAGGAGGGACATGTGGCCAGTGGCGCCGAGGAGGAGGAGCCCGCGCCTCTGCTACCACCGCGCGAAGAAGGACGTCGCGCGAACGAAGTCGCGCTTCCGCTGCCACTACACGAAGGAGCCCGCGACTCCGCTGCCACTACATGAACAAAGTTGCACTTCCGCTGCCACCGCGCGAAGGAGCTCGCGCCTCTGCGCTGCCACCGCTATGCTGCCACTGTCGTGGAACAAAGTTGCACTTCCGCTGCCACTGCACGAACAAAGTTGCACTTCCGCTGCCACTGCACGAACAAAATTGCACTTTCACTGCCACCACTATGCTGCCACTATCGTGGAAGGAGACGACACTTCCATTACTACCGTGCTTCTGCCGCCACCACGCCTCCATAGTACCTTCGCATATAATATAAAGATTATTTTACAATTTTAAACAAGTTAGAAAACTTGCTATTACAGGTCATTTTATTTTCTCATGAATATGAGGCATTTCTTTCAATACTTCATGTTAAACCGTTCCTAATCAGGTTCAATATTTTGTGTTGCTTCACATCTATGTCCTGTTGATATCTTTTAGTGGATGAAGATGGTATCTACAATAAGACTCTAATGCTCAAGTTACAAAATAATGAATGAAAATTAAATAATAAAATTGACGTTATACCCTATACTTGCTGTGTACCTTTATTTTTAATACAAAAAAGCGATTACCTGTCAGGAATAGTCAATTATCTATTAATTAATAAATAATATATTAAGAAAAAAAACCAGTTAAATCGACCTTATTTTCCTTAATAGTACAATTGTTAGAGATATAAAAATAAAAAGTCTAATTTAACGTGTGGGACTAAAATAAAGTGTCACGGTTAGAAAAGTGTTATTTTTCTACGAATTTTTCTAAAAAAAATATTTAAAGAAATTTTTTGCAAATTTTCTTATAAAAAAATATTGTAAAAATTTTATTTTATTTCTTGTAGATTTTCTTTAAAAAAAATAAATTCGTAAGTAATGTTTACTAAATGGTAGAAAAATTTTGCAGGTAACTTTTCTTGTCAATTTTAATTCGCAGGAAAAATAAAAAAAAATAAATTTACAAGTTTAATATTTTAAAAAAAATTCAAGTCTCACATCGATTGAAAATAAAACAATAAGAGTATATAAGTTGGGGCAACACTTACCTTACAAGTTGATTTGTATGGTTGAGTGTTAGGCTTATAATCTACAATCTTAGAATTTAAAAGATTATGGATCAAGTGTTGGAGGCGTAGAAACAAAAGCTTCGGATGAATTCATTGTGAGCATTTGAAAGTTGAATAATTATTGATAGAATTTATAGTAATTTCTTTAATTTTTTTCGTAAAAAATATTCCCGCAGAATTTCTTGCGAAAAATTCGCAGCAAACTTTTTTGCAATTTTTTTTGCAGGAAACTTTCTTGCGATTTTTTTTCACAAGAAATTTTAAAATTTGCAAAAACATATTATCCACGAAAGTACCTAAGATAAAATTTTGCATAAAAATTTGTAAGAACGTTTCCTGCGAATTTTTACGAAAAATTCGTAGAAAAAATCGCATGTAATAAGAGAAATTTCAGTAGTGTGTGATGGACCAATTGAATTAAGTTAGGCGATTGATTTTTAAACTTGAAATCTATTGAATTTATTTGGCCTGTATTTTTTAAAAATTAAATAAAAATGAAATTTTTAAGTAAAATTTAGTCCTAATCTGACAAACTAACAAGTCAAACCAAACCATAAAATAAGTGATTTGTAAAAAAATTTAAATCAAGTCAGACCAACTCACATGCATATATTAACCTAGATTTACTATTTTTTATAAGCCAAATACTTCATTAAAAGACCAATGACAAACATAAGAAATGCTCACTTAGTTCAAGAGTACACACATGAAGAAAGAACACATATGCCATCATTAACCCTTAATTTCATAAAACATTACCGTGATGACAAAAACAATCCAAAAAAAACTCAGAACATAAATTAGGAATCATATCTAAGTCTTTGTAAACGATGAACCCATGAAACCCACATTGGAGCTAATTTTAGAGTTGATAAATATTCTATTATGTCATGTGCGTATTATAAGAGACTTTTAACTAAATTATATAAACTAATGTAAATAATTATGTTGTTAGTTAATTTTATTTTACTTATAAAATAAATTTATAAATTTATCAATATTATTTTTTATTTATCATTAAATTTTCATTAAAAAATAAAGATTATTTTATATTAAAATTTAACATTTTTTCATTTTTTTTATTATCTAACAAAAAAATATTCTCAAGATTTTTAACACTAGTAAAATGAAACTAAAATTAATATTTTATAAAATTATAAAATATATTAAAATAATCACTATAGTCTTCTAAATTATATTTTATAATTAAGATAAAATAAATTTTTTTCTCTCTCTCGTTATAATTTTTTTTTTCATGAACATAATTTACATACCATTTCAAAATTAACAAGAATTAATTTATACTCATAAAATATAATTTTCGTTTATCAAACATTATTTTAAAACAAACAGAAATTAAACTTAAAATTACCATGTCAACTTCTCGTACCCGTATTTCA